ATGGATAAATTTGTCCAATAAAAAAAAAACGTCTGCTCGGAATACAGACACATCCGTAGGTCAAATAATATTAATAATTTGGGCGTGTTGAGCAATATTGTTGGCGGCGGCAGCGGCAGCAACGACCGTTTAGCAGCGTCGGCGGCGATGTCGGCGGTTGCAGTGGCTTTCCGTCGTCAGCGGCGGCGGCGGCAGCGGTCAGTTCGCTCCGGCCGTGGCCCTGTGTACTAGGTCGGGCCTAGACAGTCCATTGCTGTTTATGTAGTAGTCCGACTGTTTGCTGTAGCCGTTGGACGACTTGGATGCACCGTTGGCCGAGGATTTGGATTGGGTGCTGGCCTAGAAAGAGCAAGATGAAAAAAAAACGATTGTGTTAATCACGATCATTATACGATAGATAGGTGTACACTATCATATAGGATGGACTTAACACTAAAGCGATTTACAACCAGATTAAAATTTTTAAATAAATCACCCGCGAACTACATTGATTGTACACATCGATATAAGTACATATATTATCGAGTGCGTGTGTCAATAGAGAGACACGCAAGTCGGCTGACGAACTAGCTTAAGAATTCGCGTCGGGTTTTTCCAATGTCGCGTACTCACGTCTCGTCCATCGGCAACCGCCTTGGCCGGCTCTACACACCAAACGGACGGAATGCCACTTTTTACTACTTCTTCCACTACATGTTTTGAGTTGTAACGATATTTATACCACTTATTGGCTATTATTATCATTTCACACAAACTCATATGATTTTGTGAATATATAATATTAATTAAATCGATATCCACAACACTGGATCACTTGACACTCGCTCCGAATTCGTAAGATCCGTTGCCAAAAGCGAGACAAATATCCATTCAGAAGAGCTGGAGGTCTTTATACATATAACGGCATGTTGGATCCTTCTCACAACCGGTTTTTTTTATATACATAAAAAATTCGCACATTTAGATCGGTACGGCAATAGGATAATCAAAAAACGACAATAATTAACGATTTGGCGATAAAAAAATAACGCAACTATACGCGACGTGTTTTTATATATCGAGTTTATATTATACGCATTGGTATGGATTAGACGCATCTAAATCGAGTTCAGAAGGTCTCGAAACAAAAAAGAATGCCTTGCGCTATCACTGATCGATACACATGGCCCTGCCATAGTTTCGAATAAAATTACGTAACAACTTTTTTTTTTATCGTCTTACAATTTTTTTACTAACGATGATCGCAAGGTAATTATCTTCGATATTATGACATATTTTCTACACAGGATACGTCGTGTAAGTGAGCGAAGTCAAAATCGAGCGTACAAAAGATCGTATGGTTTTAAACAAAGATGATTCCTGCACACACACACAAACCATACCAATAAAGCAATTGTACTTTTCACATAACGCGAAATCGACGTCATACTTAATAATATTGAATAAACGTTCAAATTCAATAACAGCGCAGGTTAGGCGATCTAGCAGGCGGTTCTCATTCCTCTCCCATACAATAACGACAGACACGCGATTTCCCGTGGGTTTTATAAAATATATGATTTAATGGGTATAGTCAGAGGGTACGCTTACCGCTTGTTTCGACGGTTTAGTGTACTGTTGCTTGTAAAACTCCTTGAATAAGAAGAAGAACATAACTGCGTGCATGCCGATCCACCACACGAAAGCCTTTGGGTAGTTGCAGTCAATGAAGAGCAGTTGGAATGCATGTATCATGATGGCCAAGAATTGCACCATCTGCAGGGTGGTCAAGTACTTCTTCCACCACAAGTATTTTTGCACGTTGGGGCCCAGGGCGGCCAATAGGTAGTACGAGTACATGATTATGTGGACGAATGTGTTCAGCAGTCCGAAGAACGTACTGTGACCGCCTGTTGGAAAATAATCGAGAAAAACCCACGTTTTAGTCATACCTAAGAGTATTTTTTTGTTTATGTATAGGGTCCTCCCACTATTAATGTCAAAAAATCTTCTACAACTATATTATATTTAGAGATCTACGCTCCCAAGAAAGATATTATCTGGGTTTTTTCGTTATAACTATAATAATAATATTATTAATATAGTTGTTATGTTTACTCTTTCGTGGATAACACCTTTGGATAAACCTCATAATATAACAGTATTGAAGACGAACACACGAGTGCATAAGTTGTCGTGTTTATGTTATGATATACGGAGGTTCAATACAATATTATACAATAGTATTTTAAGATATTTTTTTAAATTCTATAATACAATTTAATACTATATTATAGTGATTGTGGGCAGAGGCGTTCTCAGGATTTTTCAATGGAAGGGGATGAAAGAAATTGTTACTTGATAAGCCGTAAGGGTTACCAAAAATAGACAAAATATATATCACTAATATGTAAGAAAATAAAGAGCCTTGGGGTGGATCTATCCCCTATCCCCCATTCCCCCCCCCGTGAGAACGCCCATGATTGTGGGCGCGAACGTAATTTCATATTATGCAACAGGAAGTTTCACGGCATAAGGTTTCGGTAAAGGTCACTGCTAATCCTTGTCAACCTTATTATAACACAATTATATTATTTATAATTATAGCAATCGGATATAGCCGCTTCACCACCCACGTTGTAGTCATCAGACTATCGGAGGTCGGAACGCATAGGCTAATTTATTTGGCGGTAAAAGTATTAAAACCATAAATTTATTTAGTATCTGTCATTATAGTCATAAAAAATCATTTCAATCTTATTTTTTTTCGTTACCTGGTGTGAACTTCACTCCAAACCACACACTCAATGGCATCACTCCGTGATGAATCACGTGCAGGGTCGAAATGTGCCTATCCTTTTTGCGGAGAACAAAGAATATCTGCACAAATACACATACATTTCAGAGTTATTAATSGAGTCATATATAATAATTAAACGCGTGTGTATTTGTAGTATACAAAAAAAATAATAATTACCGTGTCCATGAATTCTGTGAATTTTGAGAAATAATACCACCAACATGCGTAGACCATCTATATAGTCATCCGAGAATAGAAAACAAGTATTAGTAAAACACATAAAAATCGAGTGTACATTTTTGCTTTTGAATTAAAAGAAAAACCACGCAAACTTGACACAAAAAAAAATGTATAATAACTATAAAAAAATCTACAACAAAATATTACAATAACAGCGAAAATCTGTTACATGACTCTAAGTTAAAAAAAAAAAATTTGAAAAACGACGCAATGTATGCCATGCTAACTCACCCGCAGGGTCATTGGATGATTCGAGTAATCTACCGGCTCACACCGGAAATTATACCTGCCAGTCAGCCAACCTGATATGCCAAGCTGTAAAAACCACCACCGCCATCATAAAATACAATGTACAATTTTTACAACTATATAAATTATTAAATATATTAATTATAGATATTATATTATTAAACGTTGTGCTTGTAATTTAATCAGTTTCATGGTCAAGTTAAGCACAATTTAAGTTATTCCTCCAAAAAAAAAAGAAAAGAAATGGTTAGGATTCATATGTTTAGTCTTTCTCTATACTGGTTCAAAATAACGGATATTATATCCCTTCCGTTTTCAATAAATCTTTATGTGGCCGAATTTTGGTAAAATTGTTTTCATTTAATCCGCATCATTTTATTAATTATGTATTTTTATCGAATATTTATATCGTTAATTGTTAAAAAGTCTATTATCGAATAATTAATCCACATTAATTTTAAACTGAAGTTTAAAACTAATAAAGTTTTAAATGACAGTGTTCAATAGGAATATCATTTTAAAATTGTTATTAACATTACAAACATTACATGCATATCCAATTTAACTATTTTTCCCAAAATATGGGCTGTTATACATTTCCTCTCAATATATTTACATTTAAAGTTTCCAATCAAACTTGGTATAATAAACTACACATTCAAAACCAATCACAAATCAATATTAATTTTGCCTGTATTCCCCAACATCAAGTTTATGTTCCTTTACAATACAACAAACATACACTAAAATAAATAATCAGATTAATTTTGCTTGTAGCATGCATTAACCAATAGTTTCTTAATGCTTATATATTATATATAAATATATATATATATATATGTATATATATATACCAAAACCCAGCAGCATTCAATATATTATATTTTACAAGAGTGTCAGAAAATACATTCATATAACYTTCTATAACGCACGTAATTTGTGCAATTTATGTTATTTAAAAAATGTTATTAAAATTGTAAAAACTTCAACACCTCAACATTCAGACATTTTATGTTCTCGTCATGTATTATTCGTATATAATACAACTTAATAAATCAAGTCCCAAATAAATCCAAACTAAACTTAGTCGTCAACTAAATTTGGTCTAGGTATTGTTACATGATAAAATATATGTTATTATTATGATAATTAAATGATGTTAATAGCCAAAAGATATAAATTATAATGTGTTAGTATTATTGTGTAAACCAATTACTCTTAAAATTTTATTTCCAAAATTAATTTTGAATGGTAACCATGCATTCTCCTAAGCTCATTTTAAGCTTTTTACTTACCAAATAATCGTTTTTCATTTGTTTAGGTTATATAGAGTTGTGTGTCTAATTGTATCTATTAATTTGAAATTCATTGTATACATTTTTTTTTTTAAACATTATTACTTATTATAGTAATTACATTATTGTCGGCGTATCCCAACACAGCCTGTAAAAATTTGTGTCAAGTACACGAGGCTGATTTTTTTTTATCAAATTCTGAAATTATCAACGCATTTCAGTTATGTCAACTTACTCTTACTGTGGACGGTTTATCCGAATAATCTACCGGTTGGCAACTGAGACTATATTCACCCCACCAGCCGCCCATCATACACTGCAATGCCCATCAAGTAAATGTATAGAAAAAATTAATGAACATTTAACTTACAAAGTCATGACAGTAAGTTATGAAAGTTTTGTGAAATATTTAAATGTAAACAAGTAGTATTTGCGTCTATATAATAAATATTACATAAATTCATGTATATGTATCATATAATATACACACATATTTAATATATTGTGTATGTGTGTGTTGTGTGAAAGAGTGTGTTTATAGTTAATCAGTGAATAAACAAAAGACGCTAGACCACTCGTCGATCACATATAAAGCAAATGTTATGTTCGTGAGGATGAATTTTATATAAGAATATAATATACCTAGACCTAAAAGAAAAAATCATTGTTGTTATTTATCGACACATTATACTACGTAGTATTAAAAGATAGAATATTCAAGTAAATTCCCAGCCGTAAACTTTTCACCATACGTAAAAAATGAAGTAAAGTTATAAAAATAGTTTTTATATGAAGTGTAATGTTTTTGTACAAAACTTCAAAATATATTTAGTATTATTTTCTCTGTATTTCACATTTTCACACCATAAACTTGTAAAACTCTCCGCATCATTTGGATAATATGCATATCAAGTAACAACACAATCGAGCTTGTCGATTCGGTCAGTATTTTAAGCTGTTCCCACTCACGTCTATATATTGCAAATCCTTTATTAATAATTTAATGATATCCAATATATTTTCAACATTCACCAATCTAGTGTTTTAACATTAATTTTTATTTACCTAACAATATTCACTTAAATTTTTTATCTMTCACGCTTTTATTCCTTTTAGACGATTATCTTCGAACGTCTTTATTCACCCATACATTGCAACGGTTAGATAAATCCCCCGGAAATACTTTACAAAAATTGTTGCACGAGAAAAACCATGGTCGTAAAGTAACATCGAAAGATCGCTTTAAAAATGGTTCAAACGATCTGGACGTTTGTTATAGTTGTTGTTTTTACTATTTTTTTGATCCTATATTTCAATACTACCCACGCTTACCTCATAGAACAACCAAGAGCTGAATATGACTTGGAAAAGATTATACGCGATGAGTATGTTCCTCAATTCCATCGGTTTGCGGTTGGCCATAAGTCGTGGTCCCGCAATTTTGACAACGAACACGTACGTAGCGCATATCAGTGCCGTGGGTAGAGGACTGCTCATTAAAAACCAATCCTTGGTACGAGGGTCTACAGAGAATATACAATGTATAATTATTTATTTTTGCCGTTTTATTACTGCTACGACGCGAAACATGGACATTTTATTGTACATATAAACGAAAAAAATCGATTTGCGCGCGACGGCGGTAATTTTTTTCATAGGCATGTGAACACGACATTTTGGTATAAAACAAAAATTGAAATTAGAACGTCAATTCATGGTATAATATGATACCTATGGTTTCGTCAACTCCCTTCTGCAATTAGTTACTAAATCGTCGTTATAAGAACACCGAATATATTGTGAAATCGATTAATGAATCGTTAAAATTAATAATAGCGCAACTTTAAAATCAATAAAAAATTACCTTTACTAACTAATATAGAATAACTCTATGTATATTAATAATTAATAATATGTATTGATTGTTTATACGTTAAGGTATTATTTTCATTCGCGTTTTAAATTAAACTATATAAAAAAAAATCGTAGACCTTGGAAATAATGTGATATTTTATGTTTATTCTATTTAAACGTGTTTATCGAATTTTATTTCCATTCATAATCTTTTGCAAGTAATAATAAATTACTATAAAATATACTGAAATATAGGTAACTATACTGCTATATTATATAAGTTTGAAAATTTCAAATAAACATATTGGTAGGAACAAATATCTTAAAAAATAGAAATACCTAATAATAATATATCATAATAGTTGCAGTGGATAAATTAAAAACACTTTCGAATTTTTTTGTGATGGAATAATTTATAATAAAAAAGTATTATTGTTTATTACAAACATAAAAAATATTTAACAAGACACATTCATGGCGACATTAAGTAAAATTTAAGTAAAATCGACTTTTGGGTAAAAATTTGAAAATTCCCGAATAAACGAGAAAATGATTCAAAAAATATATATATAGATATATTATTAATATCTGCCAATAATTGCAGACGGTAGGTACTGCCTACCTAATAGTCAATGAATCAAAACATTTTGAATTTAATAACTCACCTCCATAGTTGTCGAAAAATCCTTGAACTGCGCTCAATACTGCAGCCATGGTTTAGTCCGGTGTGAGAATGAAGCGGCGACAAAAATCGTTTGAATTCACCTGTCGTACGGATAAAACAGAAAAAAAAACAAAAGTTTAAGAAAACGATACTTTTAAACTATGCAAAAAATTGAAACCATAGTCATCGTAAACCACGGCAATACCGAATGAAACGTAAAAATATCATTACTGTATTGTAAGTATAATATTATTATTGTGTTCCGCGATCGTCGAAAACCGTATACGAATGTGACGGGTGGCGGGAACACAACACACGGTCGAACGTGCGTCTATATCGATGGCCGGATGGCGACTACGGAAAATTTGAAATTAACACCACAACTTATTACTTGTTGCCCAACACACGAGCGACGCGGCGGCGGCGGCGGCAGTAGCGACTACTGAGACGGCGGACGGCTGAGCGTCAACTGACGAGCACATTCAGGCGGTGTTAAGCCGACGTGCAGCAGGTCATTTATTATTATTATTATTATTCGCTCTCCGCCGAACCGGACCGCCGCGCCRCCGGAGCAGGTTGGTCGCGTTTCTGTGCGCAGGGTCAAGACCGGCCGAGGGATGCAAGGTCGGCGCGCTCAAACCCGTTCGGCGCGCATACGTCTCATCGTCGCCGCAGTTTTCACGCCTAATAAATAAGTCGATTACCATAACCGTGGTCGTCGTCTACGATATATTTCATACCATCATACACGAAACCGTTTATCCCGCGCCAACCGATGTTGACTATTTGTCAAGAGCGAACGGCTAACGACCGATTTTAATTATATGGACCAACAGCGGCGYGTTTATATTGAATCAAAGACATTTTATATATAATGCGTGTATTTATGATCACTAGTCGTTATAAATGAATTAAAAGTACGGAAATCGACGAGATCCATTAAGAGTTCATCAAATGTGAATAGTAAATTAGTAAATGCGAAAATAAGTGGCATCACATCACCTATTATATATATATATATATATACAAAAGATCGAATTATTTTATAAGTTTAAGTCGAAGTTATGCGATGTGTTTACAGGAAATAAAATGCAAACAGTCTTTCTAAATAACGGGCATTTTGTTGTTGTTTWGTTCGTTGTATATCTGTTACATTCAGATTACTATCGTATTTCCTAATAATCATCCGATTAGATATATGCGTAAAAATACTCGTCAAACTGTAGTAAGATTTTTACTTAAGTATAAATGGGGTACATCACCTCGTTTTATAAATCGTCCGAATTGTCCGTGAATGCGAAGCAGCCTGTAAATGTATTACGAATAATAATAAGGTTGATGGAGCAAAAAAAAACTAAAAAGTGACTCGCCAACGATTTTCTACTCGTGATGAAGGCGATCTGTGTGCTTCACGTTCGAAGCATACGTGCGTACTGTGCGAATACACATTGTCACATATTTTATATATTTTATATTGAATCGTGAATATCATTATTATTATTACAATCGGTTTCTTTTTCATTTTCCCGGTTACCCTGTTTGTAACATGTACCGATCAAGAAAAACTGGTTGCGCGCACGCGGAAACTACAAGTACGACGACTTCAAAGTAGTTTATAAGAGACATGTTATACTAAAATAATAATAATAATATACAGAATAATAAACKAATAAATCGTCCAACGGCTATTCCGCGATTCCACAATATATTAATCGTAAGTATATTATAATATTATGTGTGTTTTTTAATTATTAATCAAGTTTACTGCATATATTAAAAATGTATAATATGGGTAGGCGATAAATTGATACGAAGGGCTCGTTTTTTTTCTTTATAATACGAAACAGGATTAAGAAATCGAGTAAAATTAAATTTCGTTTGTCTACTCTTCCGTATAAAATATGTAAAAAAGTGACTTGAAAACCCCGTAAAAAACTACGTAAGTGTGGTTCAATGGTAACCCATGTCAGGTTAGTATTATTGTGTCACAAATCCGATTTCACCAATAGATCTCCACCGCCGATACGCCAAAACGTCATTGCGTATAATATCTACAAATAATATTATAGGCAGTGAACAGAATTAGCGTGCCTATGTAATATCTGTGTAAAATTACGCATAACCTAACCTGCTCGTGTCGCTGCCGAAAATAATCGTTACCTAAGTATCGTATTATTTTCGTCGTTACCAATCGATCGATATATTATATTATATATCATATTATGCTGTCGGCTCGCCCAACGTTTAGTTACAGTCGTTACGTATTCTTCGTGCGTGATTTTCCGAGGAAACGACGCGTAAGACGTCGGAAAGAGAGCGAAAAATATGGACAAAAAAAAGCGTTTGACGTAATTACATCAATATGACGTAACGGTTTTATATTTTTACAGAAGTGTATCACACTTAAGATAATAATATAATATGAAGCATTAGGAATATTATAAAAAATAGGAAATTAATGACAAATATAGTCTCCTGCATTGATAAAACTCTGAAACCATAAAATATTACGACTACAATAATAAGACTCGACACGAAGAAAAAGAAACATACCTACCTACATAATAAAATGGACAAGGTAAGGTAAAACGATCGGTTTTAGGTATGTATAATACTTTATATGAATGTGATGTATTAAAAAAACAGAAATAATGCCATTTCAGAAAAATCATATTCAATTTAAAATTACGCAAATCACGAAATTCTATAAAAAAATATTAGTTGTTCAAAATCTTTAAAATTTAACATGAATTATACTTAAGAAATATACTATTTTAATTATTTAGTATGATAATGTGGTAATTTGGTGATAATAATGAATTTATGAAGCTGATTTTATAATAATATCTTTTAATTCTAATTAACAACAATATATAGTAATAGCGTACAATAATAATAGTAATAATAGTAGTTGATTCAATTATTAGGAGGGTTGTTCCTATTTTTTTTTTTTTTTTGGGGGGGGGAGGGTGTTACTTTCAAGTCAATTTGGCTGATTTGTGTTCAGTGATCATAACAGTACTATATAGGTACCTATCCGGTACCTATATATTATTTTTTATTGGTCGGTTTGGTTCGATTTCATATTCATTGCATGGTATTTTTAATTGTTTAATTGTTTGCGTTGATAATAAAATATAAATTTCAATTAATCTCTAAAAATCATTCAATTTTAAAAAATACTATGGCGATAAAAATACTTATACGTCGTAGGTACGCGGATTAAAATAACGCCACACCTGACGAGTTATAATATATTTTATTTTACGCGGTAAATCCCAAAATGAAACGTCATTAAAGACGAGTGCGACGTCATCATATTATCGTCTATGCGTTTAATAAACATCATTATTATTATAATTCGAACCTCCGCCATCGCAGTTGTCTGTGATACACCTACTCAGAATACCGGTATTTCTTGTTTACATTTTCAAGTATTATCTTTGGAGTTAAAATAGCAATGTTTATTATGTTATATCCGAACAGGTATGCAGGTATAGGCAACTCGTTTTACATTACTTTTAGGTTCTATCACCCACATCGGACACGAAACATTTAAATATTAATTACATAGGTTTTGATAAGTGTATAATTGTTATTGTATAAGAACCGCGAACATCATGCATTTTCCAATGACTGCTGTGTGCCACACAGTGGCGCAACAATGTAGAATTCAAGTGTAGTTAGGTATTCAGGACACAACTTAAAGTTAGGTGGGTGAATAAAAATTAATAGAAGACCAAAAACGAAATAGAAAATTGATAGAAAGACGATATTATAGTAGAAAAATATTAATTGATTCAATAATAAACAATTAAACGAAATTTATTGGTATAACAATTTACATTATATTGGAGAGGTCAACTTCACTTTTTTATTATCACACCACACTATGACTTGATTATTAGTAATTACTATAAAAATATACTGATATAATGACATTTGGCGGAATAGATGGCCTATAATGACTATACTCAAAATCGCTGTAAAATTAAAAACATTTTTTTTTTTTTGATAACTACCTACATGATTATTAACTGACACTCGATAGATGTTAGGACCGGTTTTGTAAACTTTAATGAGGTTATCCGATTCGAAAATTAGATTGAAATCGAATTRCGAGCGACGCGCCGACGGAACTCTTCCTGTTGGCCTCCAAGCGGAAGGACACCGGAACGAACATTAGGAATCCATCGGAACAAGATTAAGAATTGTGTAATTACATCTCACACTATTCGCACGCGCAATGTAAACGAAGATCAGAACACCGACCATAGTGTTAAAAAATATTGAGATATTTTATTAGAATTAAATGAACCTATAGGTACCTGCACCTACTAAGGCCACTCCTGCGCTCAAACCTAACATTAAACATTAAAATATTATYWTACAAAACTCTCATACAACCACTTWGGGCATACGGGGTGGTAGTATGGGGGTCTGCCAAAAAATCAAACAAGAGAACCATCYAAGCCTTCCAAAATATTTGCTGTCGTCTAATTACAGGTGCACCTTRGTATGTCTCCAATAACATTATAAACTCCGATCTCAAAATCCGCTCTGTTAACGATACAGCCACTCTATATTACACACGCTTCCACGCAAAACTTCAATCCAACACCAACCAGCTCATCAAGGACCTTGCTACACCAGCACTTCCCGTMAATCCAACCAGACGACTCAAGCGGAACYGGTGCCGCGRCTTAAAATTTTTATAAATTGCTTAAATTAAATGTCATTGTAATAAATTGTAAATATTATTGTAAAGCCACTAGGTGTCTATAATGAGAGATTTCCTAACATGTTATCTTTGGTTTATAGTTTTTCTTTCTTTTCACCATAATTATTACTTATTGTACATCCCTGTATAGATATTAGATCGTAATATTTCACAATAAAGTCATATTTTTTTTAAGAAAAAGCAAACATAGAAAACAGTCAAAYAGAGATCAACAAGTTTAACGATTTGAATGTCGAGAAAAATACATGAGATTCGATAGACATATATCATATTGTATATCATGTTTATTTTTATACCTTTCTATAGTATTACTGAACAAAAGTATATAATAAAAGTAAAAACACTGCTCAGAAGAACAAT